TTGGCGGACTGTTGTTTCGTCTATTGGCGATAAAAAACAATTGGTCTATGCCTAAATTTACTTATTCAGATGATGGGCATTCTTAGTTTTGGAGGCTGATTTAAAAATCGACATGGAACGTATATTTAGAAGTTTAAAATTCAAATAAATTCAAAAAAAGTTATTGAGATATTGAGGAAACGACTCAAGATATTAGATATTATGCAATGGTTGATTATAGTCATTATCGACCACATTAATTCAATGCTATAGTGTAATACCCACAATATGATTACAGTAGATGTTCTCTAAATAACGCATCAATGTCATTTGTCCTTAGCTTATTTCTTAAGGATTTAACCTGCGCCCATTTCTGTTCAATGGGGTTGAGGTCAGGGCTATACGGGGGTAAATATAAAAGGCGATGACCGTGCTTTTCTAAAATTGCTCTTATACCATCCACTTTATGAAAACTTGCATTATCCATCACAACAATTGCATTAGATGGAAGTGCAGGGATCAGAACTTGCTCAAGCCATGCCTTAAAAACTATCCCATTCACCGTTCCAGAGACCAAACCAACGCACAGCAACAAGCCATTCAGCAATGCACCGATCGCTTGTACAACGTTTTTGCCGTGCCAGTCGTGACTAGCGATACATTGCTTACCTTTGCTACTGTAACCATATCTACGCAATGAGTCTTTTATAAACCCACTTTCATCAATATAAACTATTGATTTACAATTTCTTTCTGCACACCTAATAGCTTGGCAATATATACTTCGCTTTTCTGGATCTGCTTTGGGATGTGACAGAGTTTTTTTTACGCGTCACACCTAACCGCTTTAGTGCTGCAAATATAGCATGTTGACTAACCCCAAAACGATGCGCACGCTCGTATTGGAAATCGTCGGGGTTGTTCTCTACATCTAAACGGAATTTCTCCATATCTATTTTGGAGCAAGGTTTATCTTTTGTTGGTTTGGGCTCAATCTCTTTAATCCACCTTGCTATTGAGGCAACTCCTACATGGAAACGTATTGCCGTCTGGCGTACGCTTAGCCCTTCAGATGTTCGCACCTCTAAAATATGTTTACGCATTGAGAGAGAATGTGTCATGACTAGCCACCTTGTAATCAATTTGTAGGTATTATACTATAATGGACAAATTAACCAGTATGGGTTTATGCTGACCCAAGGAGTTCATGTTGACGCTTCGTTAACGCCATCACAACGTAAACCAAGATCAAAACCGACATATGAAGTCAGCCCAGACCGTAGTGAGATTGATGATGAGCCTGACGCATCAGTTGCAATGGAATTCGTTAAAGTAGAAGAGTCTGGTGTTGATACGGAAGCTCGCTATACCGTCAAACAAGGCAAAGCAGTATTTGGTTATAAGCAAAACACGTTGGTCAATGACTATGGTTTAGTTGAAGCGGTCGTTACTACGCCAGCAAACGTACACGACAGTATGAGCTTGACCGAGTTGCTAGATAAAGTAGACCTTGAAGAAGGCGTGCGCGTCAATGCCGATAAAGCGTATACGAGCAAGAAGCATGATGATTTACTGAAATCAAAACGACTAAAGAATGGCATACAGCACAAAGCTGTCAAAGGGAAACCGTTGACAAAAAAGCAAAAACTAAGAAACAAGTTAATCAGTAAACGGCGAAATGTTGTTGAGCGAACCTTTGGTAGCCAGTCACTCTGGTTTGGCGGAAAGACGATGCGATATGTTGGACAAGTAAAAGCACACGCTTGGCATATATTGCAAGGAATGGCTTACAACCTAAAGCGTCTTGTTGGCTTAATTAATCGACAGTTGCAGGAGCAGTCTGTCTAAAATGCGGTAAAAGCCCAAAGAAAGGGCTAAAACCAAGGTTTAACTGACGAAATTGAGCAATATTTAGGCAAAAATGAGCAAAAAAGAGCCTGTAAATTATTTTGTGTAAACCCCACCTACATGTAATCGACCAGACGGTCTTCAAACAAGATATTAAATCTACTCATGGCAGACTTCCAATTTTGGATTGGCATTGTCCATTTTTGGCTTGCCGACATGATTGCTAAATATACCACCTTTTTTACAGAATCATCTGTCGGAAATACCTTTCTTTTTTTCGTGGCATGACGGATCACGCTGTTCAGTGACTCAATGGCGTTTGTTGTATAAATAGCCTTGCGTATGTCCATCGGGTAAGCAAAAAACGTATTCAAATTTGACCAATTCGCCAGCCAAGACTTACTGATTTGCGGATACTTTTCATCCCATGCTTTGCCAAAATCTTCTAAGTGCTGTAGCGCTGAATCTTCGGTAAGTGCTTGATAGATCTTCTTTAAATCCGAAGTAACAGCTTTGTAGTCTTTCCAACTCACATATTTCAAATTATTGCGCACCATATGGATAATACATAATTGAATATGGGTATCAGGATAGACTGCATTGATCGCTTCTGGAAAACCCTTCAAACCGTCAACACAAGCTATCAGAATGTCTTTCAGTCCACGATTTTTGAGTTCCGTTAAGACGGAAAGCCAAAATTTAGAACCTTCATTTTCAGCCATCCACATACCCAGCAGCTCTTTTTGACCATCGATATTCACCCCAAGCGCAAGAAATACAGCTTTGTTGATCACGGTGCTATCTTGTCTTACTTTGACTACAATGCAGTCCATGTAAACAATTGGGTACAGGGCATCTATAGGACGATTCTGCCATTCGACAACCCGCTCTTTAACCGCATCAGTGACTTTGGAAATGAGTGTTGCTGATACATCAGCGTCATACATTTCTTTAAAGGTGGCTACAATTTCCCTAGTAGTCATGCCTTTGGCGTACAGTGATAGAATCTGGCTATCCATCGATGTGATGCGCGTTTGGTGCTTCTTGATCAATGCAGGCTCGAACGTGCCTTCTCGGTCTCGGGGTGTGTTGAGATCAAATTCACCGTCGTTAGTTAATATTCGTTTGGCTGAATAGCCGTTCCTTGCATTACTGCCACTACGTGGGTTGTTTTTTTCGTGCCCTAAATGTGCTGTAAGCTCTGCATTTAAAGCGGTTTCGATGGTAAGCTTCTTCAGTGCCTGACTAAAGTTATTCAAATCATCTTCGGTTTTTAATGACTTGGCTAGTTCTTTTGCCAAAGCTATCATTGCGTTCTGTTCCATGATAAACACCTCTAATTTACCCTGATTACTCAGAGTATCAAATTTAGGCGTTTACACAATCTAATTTACAGGCTCGCAAAATTGACAATGTTATGGATGTCTGTCTTTTTGCAAAGCTCTCAAGCTATAACTACTTCCGCGACTACGACCCAGCGACAGGACGTTATGTAGAAAGCGACCCGATTGGGCTGCAGGGCGGGATGAATACGTTTGGGTATGTTGGGGGGAATGCTTTAAGATATTCTGATTCGAGAGGACTAAGTATCGATAATCCAACACCTGGGGAGTGTATGACTGGCGACTGTGCAGCGGACATTCCTCCAGCAACACCACCTCAGCCATCGCCGAAGGATTTGTGTATGAACCAGTGTACAGAA